TCTTTTAAAAAATCACTAATTTAAGAGAATTATAAAAGTTTAGTAATAGCACCTGTGGAATGTGAACTGGATAGTTAACTACTGCTATTACAAGCTACACCTTCAAAATATCAAAATTATATATCAAAATCTGTATCTTTAGTATAGAGCAATTGGTTTTTCAAGAAAACTAGCAGTGTGTGAAATGAGACTTTGAGACAACAGAGCATGAGATCCATTAGTGTCAGCCTGTAAGATTGCACTGATGGTCTACCAAATGGTATTTCATGCAGCATAAGATATGCTGCATAAACTGGAAAAAATCATTCCCACACATCGCAGTAATTGCTCCTGAACACAAGACATGCTGATACTGTGATTACAATTCATATCCAGTTACAAAAGATGCCAAGGCTGGTGTTTGGCGCTGCTCCCCTAAGCATGGTTCATGAGCCCTGCACATCAGAGTCACTCTGTTTCTTTTTACAGTAATCAAGTAGAAGAAATATAGGTAGAGTTAGCAGACCGATTCATAACTGAGAATGTTTAATAAGGACCTAGTTACTCACATCTTTCTGACCAACTAACCCACTTCTTGTAGGAAAGGAGAGCTACCTCCTAAGAGCTAGTGAACTGAAATAATTGTTTACTTACATCAGGCCAAGAGAGCCTCATGGTTACTTTGAAAATGACTGATTAAAAATGATCTGGTTGTAATACTTAAAATCTCTTATCCAAGGCTCTCTTTGCAGGAGAGTTTTCATTGTCACTTTTGTTTCTAATTGACCTCCTGTTGGGTTTAAGGGGAAAGTCAGAGATGATGAGGGATTTGGTGTGGATGGAGCATAAGAACCTTGTGTGTGACCCTTAAAAGGCATTTGCAGATCACAGTTCTGCATCATCTTAGTTTAGTTAATGTTTTGTCTCTCAATAAGAAATCTATATTGTATTATTTCAAAGCCCTTATAGAATGTTTTATAAGAACACCTCTTTTTTACAACATACCAGAAATAACATGAAAACAAAACCTAATTGTAAAGCTTCATTTCTTGACATTTAAATATTTAAAATAAGAAGCATATTTACACAAACAACAATCTATATTCATAATTTTCATAGTTCAGGAAAATATATACAATAAGAATCATTAAAGGCAGGGGGGATTGTTTCATAGATACAAAAGGAAAATTAACTTTTGTAGCCAGCAAATGCCAGAAATAAGCTTTTGATCCACTCTAGCAAACATTTTCTGAGATATGGTTCTACCATATAATAGCTATTGTTTTCTTAGTTATAGTATCCAATTTTCTGCTGGCTGTTTATCTGGATAAACTTACTTTCATTTCCAATTAAGTTATTATTGGGATGAAAATTAGGTCTAATTAAATTAAGGGCATGACAGTAATTGTCATTCCTTTATCTGAGTGAACTACAATTTTGTTTCCTGTGAGGGAATGCCTCAGTGAAGCTAAATTCAGTTCTCTTAGTCAATCAATGACCAGAAATACAGTAGTCTCCCCTTCTCTGTGAGGGATATGTTACATGAGCCCCAGTGAATGCCTGAAACCTTGGGGAGTATGACACCCTAATGAACTTCATCAGCTCTGCAGGAAATGTGGCTCTCCAGTAATTTTTATATTTTTCAGTCCATTCCTGAATCTGTGTGGCCATAATTTATTTGCAGGGTGTGTCATCTCTTGATATATTCCTTGTATAGGCACAATGCTTTTGGTACAGCATGTTGCCATTAATTGAAAAAATGTTTTCTTTTCATGTCTTCCACACATAATTTTTATGCCTTTTTTCATGCTAACTAAGCACTTATCACACATTGTGTCAACAACTTTTGAAGTTTGAGGAGTGACAGCAAGACAAGCAAGAATTAATTGTTCCGTCTTCACAATTTCACAGATAGAAGATTTGTTCTTACTGAGATCTTGGCAATATCAGCATGCGATTTTTTTTCTTTCCTTATTGAAAACTTTCTCCTTTTCTCCATAAAGTAAAAGAAGCACTTTATGGCTTCTCATTAGGATATGCAAACTGAATATTCATTTTCATTGAATTTATTAGAGATACATTAGTTAATAAAATTATATGGGTACATAGGTTTCAAGTGTGTATTTTATAAAATACATCATCTGTATGTTGTATTGTGTGTTCACCACCCAAAGTCAAGTCTCTTTCCATCAGCATTTTTCCCCTTTTTACCTTCTTCTACTTGCCCTTGCCCTCCTTTTCCCTCTGGTAATCTCTATACTGTTGCCTGTGTCCATGAGTTTTTTTTCTTTCTTAGTCCCTGCACCAAATTACTCTTGTGCTTTGGAGCCATTATTAAGCAAAAGAAGAGTTGAATGTAAGCATTGTGATGCTATGACTATTGGTCTGATGATGCAGGCCACTACCAAGTGCCTAAAAGGTGGGTAGCATGTGCAGCAAGACTATGCTGAACAAAATAAATGACTTATGTCCTGGGTGGGACAGAGTAGGATAGCATATGACTTCGTCAGGATACTCAGAACTGAGCACAATTTGAAACTTATAAATTGTGTATTTCTAGAATTTTCTATATAATATTTCCTGACCATGGTTGACCTCATATCTGAAACTGTGGAAAGCTAAACTACAGATAAATGGGGACTGCTGTGCATTCACACCTTCCTATTCATTTATCTGCACTTGTCTGCAAATCTTCCCCTCTTTTATCCTAAAATAAACATTTTATTAAGCATCTACTATATTAAGCCTCTATTTTGTGCCAGGCACTATGGATGTAGCAGCTATGAGTACAGAAATAAACAAATTACATATCTTCTCTGAAGACAAATGGATAAAGAGGTGATTTTATCAATATAACAAATGGCATACCAAGACAAATCAAATGCTTTGCGCCTGGTTGAAACCTTTGTCCCAATACCACATACGCAGCAGAAGATACTCACACAGAGGTGCACTTCCAAAGGGAATTTCTGGAGCTATGGTAAAATGTCACCCCTTCTATATCACTCAGTAAAGCATATCTTATTGTAATAATTAAATTATGTATAGCAGTGACATATTTTTAATTCATATTAAAGTTATATCATGTGAATTCTATAATAATTCATCTTTTGAATAAGTATTAGCTGCATGGCTAACATGTCTGGCATGTGCTGGCAAACAAGACAGATAGTTGCTGATATCCTGAAGTTTTAGTTCAAGGTTAGGGAAGGAAGAAAATAAGATAATTCAGTTGGTCGTTATGCTATGACATGATGAGATACAGTAGGTTATAAAGAAAGGGTGTGTGTGTGGGGGGGGTGTGGGTGTTTGCTGGGATGCTACTGGCATTAAGCTGTTAAGGAAGTTTTCTCTGAGGAGGTAGCCTTTTGAGCTAAGATTTGTGTGATGAAAGTGAGTTAGCCTTTTAAAATGTGGGGTAAGAAAATGTTCTCGATTAACAAAAAATTGCGTTGAAAAGCCATGAGGCTACTGACAAGTATTTCTTCCAAACATCTCACACTGATGAGGCCACACCACTGTATCGGTGCCTTGGCTACAAACTACTGTGTTACTGGTGAGTTGTCAGACTATTAATGGTTAAGAAAGAATTACCAGGAACTAGCTACAGAAAACTAACAAGTGCCTTCTTAGAAGAAAAAGAAGTATAAGAGAAAAGAGTCAAACCATAAATAGAAGGGAAAAAGATCCAGGTAGAGGAGATAATTCAAGAAAATGGGAAAGAGCAGGACACATTCAAGTAACTGGAGACAGTCCAGCAGGACTGAAACATATGTTTAGGAATAGAGGGCCAAGATGAAGCTGGAGAGAAAAGCAAGAAGTTTAACATGAAGATCTTAGTATATTGTGGAGGCATTTGGACTGCTTTTTAAATACTCTGAACATTTTATGTACTACTAAAATATGTAGACATACAAACGTATTATATGCTATACTATCACATTTTATATAGGTATTTCATAGAAACATGCTATTTATTATATAGTATTACATACTATATACAATACATAAAATTTAGTATAATTTGGAGCCATTTGAATGCTCTAAATAATATATTGAATCATGGGCTTTCATGGCCTGAGAGTAACTTAAGTGTGATTCTGGAATTTAGAGGAAAATTTTGATCAAATGGTCTTTATAGGACTGGGTAACTGAATTATTTAAAGTTTCTTTCTTTCTTTCTTTTTTATTTTAAGAGTGATTGTCTAAGTATTACTCATAGAGCTTCAGATCCAGGAACCTTGAAATGAATCTTAGTCATCCATATTATTAAACAGCTGACTAGATAATTTTGATGTACTGCCAGTTTGGAAGGTCCTAAAGGCACCTGTTCTCCAGATTTCTAAAACTCCTCAAGGAAGAATATTATTACTTCTTTATGATAATATTCAGAATATTCAGGATACAAAAACAATTTTGAGGTAATTTACAATTTATTTAAGTGTAGTAAGTGTAGTTAATGATAAAAATAAGATGATTTAAGGATAAAGATTTTGCAAGATTTTTACATTTTCAAAGGTAACATTTACTATGTAATCTTAATATTTCCTGCTGTAATGAATGATTTCATTTTATGTCCAAGTAACCGATGTTTAATAGTATTTTCTACCAATTTACTAACATAGTCCTTTGTATTTATCACCAAAGGAAACTTAAGCATTTCTGAAATAGTCCCATATAACTTGAAGTGTGAAACTGTAGTCCTAACATTTGAAACTTTAGTGTAGTCAATACATTCATTACATTTATTAAATATAGTCAGTATACTAAATTTTTAAAAAATCCAGTCTAAGCAGGCCAAGTGGCTATTGCAGCTAATATCTAGTTAATTGTACTTTAAATGCACACAGATATACTTTTATATAAAAAATTAAGTACATACTTAAAGCTTTTAAAGCTAGATATGTCACATACTAAGTCTGGAATTCATTTCTCTTTGTCTAAGCAATTCTTAACCAATGCATTATGTGATGCCCATGAACACAACTAATTGGAGTATATCCTGTTACAGGAGTAGTTACCTGTATGACACTATCCCCAGGACTCATATCTGTATAAACGTAGACATCATAGGATATTTCAGGGAAGGTTGGAGTGTTATCATTTGCATCCATCACTCGAATATTGACAACAACTGGCTGACTTTCTTGCACACCATCAAAGGCTGTAATCTTTGGGGGTGAAAAAATATATTTACTAGAGAAGTCATGCAAACGTAAGCAGTACAGAATTCACTCTTTCAAGTTTTTTATATGTCACACTTTTAAAAGGGGACTAAAATATCTTGTCAATAAAGAAATTAATAAAATTATAATAGTATATATAATCAAAGTGTTTTAATGTGCTAAGAAGCAATTATAAAGGATTCTATTTATTTTCAATGTATTCAATTCAAACCAACTTTTAAATAAGTTAATGTGTAAAATGTTGTAAAGGGGCTTAAAGTGGCCAATAACATTGCTGATTTTAAGGAGTTAACTACTTTTTAATTTTTAAAAAAATTAATAGGAAAACATTTCCACTTTTACATATTTTGTATATAATTAAATAGTTGCATTTACAGCCAAAAAATCAGTCAAGAGAGTAGGTGCACTAGATATGTTGCCCAGGCTCCTGTGGCTCAGTGGATTAGTAAAGTATAATATGCCGAAAGTGTTGTGTATTTTCTTCTATCATCAGGATTAAAATGGCTGCACAAAAATTCACCAATTTTGATGATTTTTTAAAAAATGCACACAAATATGACAGCTGTCACAATACAATCTAACGAAATTGTTTCAAACGACGTTAAACACAACTAAGCATTGCTAGAGCCATCTTATGGAAAAACATAATGAACTTTTTGGCCAACCCAATATCTTAATAAAATCTGTTTCAGAAACTTGAGATCATAGCTTTTAATAGCCCTTCCTTGTTTTCTTCAGTAACTTAAGATTTCTCCCTCTCAGTAGTACTGACTTTTTGAGCCAGATAGTTATTCATTGGGGAGAAGCGATGCTGTCCTGTGTATTGTAAGATTGTTATAATATGTTGGGCAGCATTCTTGCTATCTACCCACACCCCCTCACAGTAGTGACAACCAGAAATGTCTCAGAATTAAAAATGCAATAGTAAAAATAAAATAAAACACAGTTTAGAAAAGAATTGTTTACATTGTGGATTCTAATTTATACTATCTCAATTTAAGTCAGTTGTGAGTATATGGTAAATAAAATTCCCATATTTTTGTTTTCATCTCAAAAGTTAAATTTTTGGAAAGAATGGTCACATAGCTAAGCAAATGTATAAACAAATGGAGGAAATATCCATTTGATTTTTTTAAAATTTTTGATATTCTCTATGGTATTACTTGAACATATTACCTTTTCCTATCAAATAATTGACTTCTCAGTTTTAAACCAACATCTCTTTATGTTACATATATACAAAACTTTACATAATATATTTTATATATAAATATATACTATATATTATATATCATGTATATATAATCTATATACAAAATATATCTATATATATAATATATATATAAAAAAATCACTTTACCGAGAAGATGTAAGTGTCCTGTTCTTCCCGGTCCACTGGCTGAAGCAAGGTGAGGAAACGAGTGATTCCAGTCTGCGTGACGGTGAACACTGAAGTATAATCATTCAGAAAAAGCTGAACCTCTGGGTCTTTTGTCTTTGAAAAAAAAGAAAAAGCCATTATTCAAAATGTTAAATAATTAAGACACTTATTAATTAAGTACCTGAAAAGTAATATTTTCAAGTTCATTACAAAATAAGCATAACTCTATTAAGGATTTCTAAAGAAAAAAGAAGAGAGTTTAATAAATATTTACCATAATTAAGCTAAGCTATCTAAATGTCAATGATTCATTTTGTGGAAAACAAATAAAATAAGTACTAGTAAAATTAATGTAAAATTAAAGTAAGAAGAAAGAACAGAAAAAATCAATTAAATATATTTTTATTTTTATTTAATAGCAGTAGTTTTCAAAAGTTCACTGAGCTAAAAAAAACAAGAAATAAATACAAAAAAGAAAGAAAATTGAGGCAGAGAGTTTTAGCTGTAGTAATCTTCACATATGCATATTACTATACTGTTCCTATGTTTAGTGTAAAATAAAAATAAAATTAGTTATGTATAATTTGTTACCTATAAATATCCTTGCTCTTTCTTATTTTAATTTTAAATGTTGTTAAGATTCTTATTTTAATGTTAAGATTCTCTAAGGGGAAAAATATTTAACTTAATTAAAATATTTTAGATGATTAGATTGAAAATATATGAATTAAACACATCTGATAAAAAAAGCCTAGAATAAAATATCTACATAAACAAGGGATTGCAAAAGTTCTAAAGGGAGATAATTAACTGAGAGTTGGAAATCCTCCACAATCTGATCGCCATCCCTGAGAGAGAAGGCGTTAACTGCAGCAGTACAATTAACAGAGGAAGAACAGAGATGTAAATAGGAAGTCTTGAATTGGTTTCTGAATAGTGAAATAGGAAGGCAGGTGGGCAAATAAAGGGGTTATTATGACAGAGTGGACTTATCAAGAAGGCTATAAGAATAGCCAAAAGGGATGATACAGGAAGATAAGGTACTTTTATATATTATGTCGACTTTTAAAATATTATGCATAGTGTAATGTGGAGTGTCAGATTTTTAATAGACATCTGTCAGATTTTTGTTTTTCTAGATCTGGTATCAAGGGCTGAGAGCAAAGTAGAGAGCTTATAATCATTAAATACATGCTAATTTGAGAAAAAATAGAACTCTGGTTTAAAAAATTTCTGTGTGGAAGTGAGAACTTGAAATATATACTGCTATGTTAAAAAGTGGGCACAATCTGATCCACCATATACTTTACTTATCTTAAATTTCAATATGTACTTATTTCAAATAACTTTGAAATAAATGGTTTTATTTGAACCTGACACCAACTGTGTTCATAATATCTCATTATCGGCTATTACTTAGATATAGCATGGTGGTTTCTATGAAGCTATGTTCATGGTTTTGATGTGTCAGTATACTACATTTATCCTAGAATAATAAAAGCTAATAATACATAAAATTTCTATTGGCCTAGTTACAGAATAATCAAAATTGTTAAAAAAATATGGCCCTGGCCAGTGTGGCTCAGTAGACTGAGCACGGGCCTGAAAACCAAAGTGTTGCTTGTTCAATTCCCAGTCAGGGCACGTGCCTGGGGTGCAGGCCAGTTCTCCAGTAAGGGATGCATGAAAGGCAACCATACATTGATGTTTCTCTTCCTCTCTTTCTCCCTCCCTTCCCTTCTCTCTAAAAATAAATAAATAAATAAACAAATAAATACTAACAAAAAGAAATATAAAATGTCAAGAAGATTTACACTGATATTTTCAAATAGGCATTTCATTGTTTTTATTTCTTTGTCATTGCTCAAATTGTTCAGCATAGTTGGAACATGGGGTATTTTGATTAATCAAATATGTTAGTTAATACAAAGTTAAATTATTTATTTAGAAAATAAAATTGTATAATATTTACAAATAAATGTATTTTGAATCACATTTTGAAGATTCTTTTGTTGTACATTAATTATATAAAATTTAATTATTTTTAAGTGATCAGAAGTGTTAGCATGCAGTTTCAGTTAATAAAAACTAAATAAGTATGAGTGCCCTTTCTTAGTATGTATCCTTGATTTTAGGAATCGTTATATTTTCAAATTCATAGGGTTTTTTTTTTCCTGCTCTCTGCACATCTAACAATCATCTGAGGAACACAGCTGCCTTTACTCATCCCCATACACTATGATTAATCCAAGTTAAGTTTTGATCTGTGACTTTTTTACCAATACTTACTTTCTCTTTATTCAAATCCTTCAGCCATTCTCTACTTTATGACTAATCCTTTCTCAATTTATTTTCTCCCATTCAACTGTAGCCTCTGTTAGTAAATTTGTTAGATATATTCATCTGCATAAGCATATGTTTTAAGCATTTTTTAATGTCCAGTATTATGATAATGCAATGCCGTAGTGTGGTGAGTTGTGAACCAACATCTATGTACAACTATAATTTGATATGGTTTTGCAAAAACACCATTCATTTTACCAACTTATGAAAGCCACAGATTTCCTTTGTCATATGTTTCCCTTCTGAAAGTGATATAAACACCAGGACTCTATAAAAAGGCTCTCTCATAACTGATAACCAGAAAGAGTAAAGGCTTGATAATTTAATTGTCTAAGTTTCTTGAACTCATTATAATAACTAGCTAGAGACAAAAAGAGCATTTCCAAGAAGAGCAGCTTATTTGTTTTATGTAGCTGCTATTTTTACATAATACATAAAGCTAATATTGTACAGTGCATATTTAGTACATTCTAGTATGTTCTGCATAGTTAATCTCTGATTAAAATACAGCTTTTAAAGTTTATGAATAGGTAAAATAGTAACCTTTTATATCTATATTTTATACATTGATGCTATTGGTGGATACCTGTGAATTTCTTGTAGTACCAGAATTTAAGAAGGCAGAATGGGAAATGTTCAGCCAATTACTATTCAAAATTAATATTTTAGGTTTCTTTATAAGGATAATACTAGTTTTAAGTATGACATTTATGACATACGGGACAGATAATGCTTTGGCTTAACATTATAATAGGGACAGTAAATTTTATGTAGTCTTGTGTCTATAAATTTACTGAAAATAAGTGTTAGTTTTCTAAATCAATTTGTATACAGAAGACTGATTAATAAATATTCTTTTTCTCCCTGACATAAGGTAATACCATTTTACTCTAAACTCTACATTCAGTATAAACCAAAACATTACATATTATATCATTGATTTGTGTATTATTTTCTGGAAGGTAAAATAAAGTCATATTCACTCACAGCACAAAAAATATGAATACAAAACAAACACATATACAAAACCAAAGGTAAACAAAGATTTGAATGTAAAGTTTTTAAATTTCATCATATAGAGTAGAAAAAATATGTTTAAATATGAATAGTCTAATGCATTTAAAATCAATTTTTGTTTTTGAGTGGGAATCAAAATATCAAACACACAATATTAAATGCATCCTCATATATATGCACATACAGCACAGAAATGTGTACATATATACATATATATGTATGCATACTTATGTGCACACAAATTACAAAGCATAATACCAAATGGCAAAAAGTTAATTTTATCTGCCAGTTTGTATCAGTTGATAGTGATTGTCTGAAGTACCTTATTCAAAAGGGTTCACCTCAAGCTTAAAATTGTTCAGAAAGAATGCAGTGATGAATTATCAATGTTTGTCAAGAACTAAAAGAATATTTAATAATTAATCCTTAAGTTACATGCAATTTGGATTCTATAAAATTTCATACTACTATAACCAATAATATAATGTAAATAATTTAATGTATACCTATATACATATATATTTAAAGTAGTTGTAGACATCTTTATGAATGAGAATGAGTAGTTGCCTACTTGTTTTAGTAGAATAGGAAAAGAACACAGAATCAAACCACAGCAATTAACAAAACAGACAAAATCAAAACCTAGTACCTACAGGAACTCCACCAGGTGGGACCTATGTGCAAATTAAATATGAAATAAAAAATGTGAATATCAATGACCAGAAACATAGATATGCTGTATGCCATAAAAAAACATTTTTCTAGTATATTTAAACTAACAATATTTTTACAGGGAATATTTTATTCCTTAGTATTCAGATATAACATACATGATAGCGTGACAATCTTCATAAAACATAAAAATGTATTATATCTTTAAGACTATATTATATTACATTTCAAAGATACCTTTATTTTAAAATAATAACACTATATACAGGGATGTGAAATGATATGAAATTTTAAGTGAATCAGTGCCTTCCTAAAGTCAATGTGCAGTATCTGTTATTATCCTTTGTTATATTTTTATAACCAGAATTAAATATTCAATTTTTAGTGATTCTGCCACTGAAAACCTGGTCATCTCAGACATGACTGTTAAAAAATCTTGACCCTTTCCTATTCTATCTATAATCTAAACTATTTTGAAACTAAGGAGAATTATACAACATATAATTCATATATATGTTCCACATGTATATGTTTATATCTATAAATCTGTAGAAAAGGAACATTAGTAAATATAATTTGTTTACTTCTTTTCAGTTTCTCTATGATCCTTCTATTCCTTCTGATTCAAATTACTTATTGCTGATAACACAACTAATCAATTCCTGCTACTATTTCTTAAAACTTTGTCTTGCTTCCCACCGATTTGAAAGAAGGAACGCCACTTGAGTTTTAGACCAATAAATCTAAGTCTAACCTCTTCTTGACATTTGCCTTTCAGTTGTGGCTGCTCTGGAAGCCGCTCAGGAGAGCCACTTCCTATCATGAAAGCTTCTCTTTTTGTGCCAGGTGCTTATCCTCCGTTTCTGTTGCTCACACCCCCTTAAGGTGAATGGCCTCTGTCTATATTCTTAACTCTGTTGTCTCTGTTCTGATTAGTTTCACTAATTCTGACTGAAGATCAGCAAAAATTTACCATATAGTAAAATTCTTGCCTGTGACTGAAAAGGGCCTTGGGTTTTCTTGTTATTGTTGTTTATTTAGATCTTCAAATAACCTCATAATAACCATATTTTATTTTTACAAAGAGTGCTTGACCTGGAAAAAGAGATGATTAAGAAGGACATAAACCCATCTTCAAACATATTAGTGACCATTTTGTAGATTTATTCTACGTGCTATCAAATGAGAAATATGAGGAATAATGGATGAGTTACAAGAAGGCTGTTTTTAATTCAGTGTGAAGCACTAAGAGTTAGTTTTCCAACAAAAGAATATGCCATATTATGAAACAGTTAATTCAATATCATTAGAAATTTCATGTAGATGTTAGGTATTCTAATTCTATGAACTTATTTAAATTATAGATATATAGAAGCTATATATGATATAGAAACCTTTGTCATTTTGGAATTAGATATACTTGTTCACTTTCTGGGAACCAAATGAAAATCATTCACTATAGATAATTTTAGAAAAATGATGGGCTCAAAGAATAAGCAAATGGCCAGAGACACATTATTTAAGTACTTGACATTTTTTACACAACATATTAATCATGCTACTATCTCAATATATGGCATCATCTAAGGAAAATTTTCTCTCTAAGCCCATTCCCAGCAGCCCCAGATGCAGGAACAGGCCAAGGAAGCAGGGATCACAACCATATACCTTTTGGATCCCAGATGATGGAATGAAATGGGGGCAACTGGTGACTATGAGTCTCACAGTATCACACAGCTATCACATGGTACAACCAAGCATCAGACCCCAGGCTGACTAACTCTACAGTACAAACTCCTAAGGACCACAGCATGTTGCCCCACCCCTTGGAAACAGCTCAGAACATTTAAGAGGTTAACTGGCATTAAATCTCCATGAGTAGAATTCTAGGTAGTGTTTTCCAAAGGTTTTACATCCAGGGGTTCCCCTCACCCACCTCAGCAACACCTTGCTGTCCTTTCTAAAGTCCCTTAGAACACAATTTTAACCTTTATTTTTCTAGAAGGAGAAAAGAATCTGGTAGTATAGTCTTAATTAAACTGATGATAAAGCTCCATGTAATGAGATCCCAGGGACATTCTATAGCTGTGCTGCCCAATTAGTGATGTGTGATTATTTGAATTTAAATTAATTCAAATTAAACAAAATGTTAAAATTATGGTTTCAGCCTAGTAACATTTCAAGTGTTCCCTAGCCACATATGCTACCATATTGAATAGTGGAGCTACAGAACATTTTCATTGCCCTAACTGGTGTAGCTCACTTAGTTGGGCATCATCACACAAAGCAAAACATTGCCTATTCTATTCCCCCAGTCAGTGCACAAGCCTGGTTGCAGGCCTGGTCCCTGGTTGGGAGTGTGTGAGAGGTAACCAATCAATGTGTCTTTCGCATTGATGTTTATCTCCCTTTCTTTTTCCTTCCCCTGTCTCTCTTAAAAAAAAATCATCATCACAAAAATTCTATTGGACAATGCTATTAGAGAGGGAGAAATTACTGATCAGGACATTCTTACATTGAATGTGATAGAAATCAAACTTACAATACGTTTTTCTTAGAAAACATATGTTGGAAAATGCTGTAGTGGTCACAGAATCAAAGGAAAAATTTTTAGAATTGGTATAGCTTTGGGAAAATCATAATAAAGACAAACAAACCAGGAACCCCACAGGATTCTTCTCTTTACCTGACTGGCTTCATTCTGTCCACTGATAATGGATTTTCTCCATGTCAGCAAACTTGGCTACAATGGCTTTAGATTCATTTCCACTTCTTTAATGCATGATTCTAAAGTCTTCCAGCTCCATTTTTTTTCTTCCATTTCTTGGGAGGACTCTGACTGGCCTGGTATAGATTTTCTGTCTACTATTCATGGCACTTACTTTGGCTAAGGAAGGAAAACACTGTGATCTAGCCAGTCAGCCCCATTTCCCACTCGTGTGGCTAGTGTCAGTACCAGAGAAACACAGGACAATGATGGGTGGAATGGAGGAGAGTTAGCATCAACATAGCCACTGACAGAAGTGTAAGCGAGTCAGCTGTCCCTGAATGCTTTTTCTGTAGTGTACCGTCAGAGAAGTCCCCTGAATTGCATCCAGAGCTGCCAGCATGATTCTTTACACTCATTGCATAGTTCAATTATGTTTCCCTGTTAGCAAATTTTATCCCATATTAATTGAACAGTTTTTAACCCATATTAATAAATGAATGCCCTGATAATTTAGCAAACTTCAAAAGAAACAGATTTTCTACCTTCTACTGAATATTTATAAACCAAGAAAAAAACAGCTGCTGAATTCAAATCTAACATACTTTTCAAATATTATCCTTGATATAGAGTTAAATGATAAAACTAATACTGTCATTTACACTTTTTCTCTATCCCATAGTTTATGTAACTATGTTTTTATAATATTTCCTATTGACATTAAGTATAACAAGAGATGCGTTAACAAAATGAGCAAAATTTACATTTAACTTACATCTTCTATGTCCTTGTCCAGAATCACAATTCTTAGAGGGGTGGTCAAATTGACACTTTCAGAAATGGTTGCTCCCACTGGGGCCGATTCCAGGATATAGCCTTGATAGCTGGGCATTGTGAAATAGGGGGCCTGGTTGTTTTCATCCAGTATTTCAATATGTAGACTGGCAAAGGCAGGAAGAGGATGGCCATTGTCCTGTTCAGCCTAGAAAAGAATGTAAAAAGGTATGAACATTCTACATTTTGGGATCTTTCTGAGCATCACTTTTGATACTATCTATAGAGGATCCCTTTTGAACTGATATCATCACAGGAAGTAGGAATGTTTTAACATTAGAGGGGCTTAGAAACCATAAATAAGAAAATGGTTTCATCAATTTTTTTGGTGTCCTGTCTTCAAAATCAATGTATAATTTTTAAAAAATAGCAATAATAACTGCAGTCAATTATTATAGTTCTCACAACATATTTTTGAAGGGATGACTGCTTAAATACAGTTAGACAGAAAATTGATAAGGGAATATATTTGAGTGAATTGCTAATAAAACAGTTAAATAATAGAGAAGATTCATCACTCAACTAAAGTATTAAACTTATTTTTGTCTCTTCCATGTCTTCTCATGCCACACTAATGATTAAATCCCCAAATAATTCATAATTCTATATAAAATTAATAGATTTAGGCTATATTTTAGGAGTTCTCAAAAGCATCACATAAGGAATAGAGATAATTTCAATGAAATATTTTTTAGTATCTATAGAATTTCAAATAGATTTAACAAGAAATATGTCATTCAAGTAAAGGTAATATGTATTAGAATAGTGTTTATTTTCTTGGTTATTTTCTGTTTAGTTTTAAAACAATGATTACAATTTATAGTTCCAATCAATTTTCTTAGGATATCTTCATATGATCATGATGTAAATGGGGAAACACCAATGTGTGATTTTCTGTTTCTTAAAAAAATGTATTTAAGGGAAGTATTCATCACAACTGACTTCAAACTTTAGGAGAAATCATTGACATAATTCAGTAGTATATAAATTTACTGTTATAAATTTTTACTGATACTTTCCCTATTTTATGATAGTTGTAATTTGAAATTAACTAGATGTGAAAGTAAAATGCTTCATATTAAATCCTGGAGTGCTTTCCTAAATGGCATATTGACATTTTTTTGGTCATGAAAGTTTATAGCTGGTTCAGAGAGATATCTCTTATTATTCAATTCAGAGGCAAGAACTAGGTCTTGAGAACATAATTTTGCATTTTCTTCTCACTGTAATAAAGCATTTTCACCAATTAACAGGTAGGTAACAGATCACAGTGATGTTTGCAAAGGTACTGGAGACAATGTACCAAGAAAAATCACAATATATATTTTTATATTATACTATTATTAATATTGAAGATATTTTGAAATATTACTTGTGCAAATCACTAATTTGAAATTATGGTAATTAATAAACACTTTGTGAGATAATGTTATATAAAGCATTGATAAAAAAACTAGTCTTTGTTTCTTAGTATTCTGGTAACTCTATTTCAGTATATTAGTTTTCCATTGTAAGGTTTTATAATTTACTTCATTCATTTAAATTCCATTTTGCAACAGATTGCCAAAGTGGTGCAAACAATGTACTAAATGTTTATGAGCTCTGCACTAAGGACAAACATACTGAAATAATGTGTAGCCTTTTCTAGAATTATTCATTCTTCTTCACACATAACCATATGTGTTCCTGACATCCTTAGTATGGTAAGCTCTTTCTACATCCAGTGGTTGTGATTAATGTGTGCTGAGCCATGGATGTTCTTCTAGGAGTTCCCTCTGCAACATACAAAAGGGTTTTGCATATAGCCACTCTATAGGATAAGAAATGATTAGTAAACATCATTTCTATAGTGAATGTAAAGCCATTATTTGGTCCGCATGAAGTTCCAACCTAATGCCCTTGATCTGATTAAAGCAGGAGCGGTTCATACACACAGGTTATTCCGAACATGGGTTTTCTCTCTCCCTTTATTTTGTATCTTGTGTAAAAACCATTATCTCACATCCTGGACATACTAATAATGCTATGAAAAGTAACAAAATTTATAACTTGTCTCCCTCCACCAATACACACATACAAATACAGTTTACCAATGGTGAGGGGAAAACAGAAAACATTCTATAACAACAAAAGAAGCTTATATTTTACATTCAGCTCTTATATTTTTAATTTTTACTGCTAACTGTGATGCCATGAAAAATATATTATTTGCATGCTGAAAACAAAGTAGCCAGGGAAAATATATTATTTGCATGGTGAAAACAAAGTGATCCACTGAAAAGAGAAATAAAATTGAATTAGTCCTATGGAAACAATCTAATCCCTGTATCTTTAAAAATACCACATGAAAGCTCTGTCTGAACATTAGTTTGTTGTTAATATGACTAATATTTTTGGTTTACTACTACATGGTTTGTCCTATTTTAGGGTTTTCAGAGGTGCTAACCAGGAGTCTGTCTCTAAAGTTCATACTCTTAACCCCTCTGCTATTTTGCCTCTCTAAATGTAAAAACATAATTTTGCTTTTTAAAAAAATGTTTTAAAATATTTTATGTATTTAATTTTAGAGAGACAGGTAGGAAGGAAGAGCGGTAGGGAAACATAGATGTGCAAGAGAAACTTCATGGTTGCGTCTCACACATGTCCAGTGGGGGACGTGGCCCAAAACCGTGGACGTGGCCCATGTGCCTTGACCAGCAATTGAACCAGTGACCCTTCTGCTTATGGGACCATGCCCAATCCACTGAGCCACACTAGTTAGGGCTCAATCAAGCCTTCTGATGAGTATTTGTTTGTCAATTTCCTTAATTATTTAAATTTTATCCTGCCTTATCAGGTTCCCAAATAATGTTTTACATAGATTAGCTCACACTCTGGCACCCTGAAAAACAGGTGGGCATCTTGATTCAGTGGGGGCTGTGCAATCTGCTTTTCAAAAGCAAGCACTTCACATGACCCCAATTTGTTCAATCAACAGTCATTACTGGATCAGTTGGGTCTGGCTTTTGACATCTTTCATTCAGGCTGAAGGAAGTCATTATACTAAAAATAGCCTAGGTTGAGCTGCCCAGACCAACTCTGCTCTAGCCTTGAATACAAATGATTGTTACTGTTTTTCACCTTTAGGCAAAGTTTCAAATTTCAGCTGGACCTAAAAGTTGGAAATGAAAGTGTAGGAACCTCATATGAAAGACTTCTTGGTAGTATTCTGCTTAGTTCACTAAGCTCTGCAAAGATTTGGAGGGTCAAAGGTCCAATAACTGGCAATAGGTCACCTTCTTTTCTATAATCATCGGTTTTTCTCTAGGAATATCTTAGGGAGAGAGGCTGTGCGAAGTGTGTTTCTCTGGGTCAAAGATCATATTACTATTACCAATTAATTAGTAATTAAAAGTAAGTGTGTTCATTGCTTCTTGATCTTTCTTAATAAAATTATATTTCCATAAGACCAAGAGGAACTTCCTTTATTTAAACTTCAATACTCTAAAAATTCAAGAATGCATAACTTATTGACAGCAAACTTATTTATGAAAGTTTTTAAAATATGAGAACTTAAAAAACACAAAAATATCCAATAACTTATCAGGTAAAATAAACTACTTTGAATATAATACAACTGAATGTTTTATAATGTCATAAATATAGTAATAGAATATATTCTTGGTAGGAAAGGAATAGATTTGTTTGACAAAAAAGAAAAAACATTTTCACTAGACAGAAATATAGACAACAAATTCCAAAAATAGCATTTATGATATGACAATAAAATAATATTGACATACTTTTCACCTAGATAATATTTTAAATCAACTGAAGTATATGTTATTTTTACTTGAAGAATATGTCCATTCTATTTATAATTTACTGCAATGAAAATATGAATATACCTTTTAATAATAAAAATAGTTTTCTTTACTTAGAGTTTGAGGCAGGACCTGGCATTACAATGACTGATGCAATTTTGAATGATTTAAAAAAGAAAAACTCAATCACTTGGGGAAGATCACAAATTCAAAAGTGTGTCTAGTCATAGCCACATTGGACTATTTGGCTAATGTTTTAAATATGGGGCTCATCTTGGCTACAAATGGTAAAGCAAATCAGAGACAAAATTGTGGTAATGATGAAGTAGTGACTTTTTTTTCTGGAATGATTTTAATCATGTTTTAGGTGTAGCTCAGTGGGTTGGGCATTGTTCCAAAAACCTAAAGGTTGCCAGTTTGATTCCCAGTTAGGGCACATGCCTGGATTGTGGGCCAGGTCCCCAGTTGGTGGTGAGCAAGAGGAAGCCAATCAACATTTCTCTCCTTCCCTTTTTCCCTCCATTCCCCTCTCTCTAAAAATGAATGAATAACATCTTAATCATGTTCTATCCCCCTTATTTTGCCTTGCCCTTTGCCTCCCCATCCAGCAAAGGCCAATATTGGGTTGATCCCATTTCCTCAGTGTTTTCTCAACTAGGAGAAAACCCATTCAAGTACCTTATGTGAATTGGCCAATGGGAATACTCCATCCTAGAATATTTTAATTTTGATAAACCATCATATAAAAATAGATTTTAAGTGTGTTACTTGTCAGAGACTGGCAGTTAGTGAAAGTTTGTTACCCCTCTGTACCAGACTATTCTTGAGAAAAATAATAATGATTAGCCCTATTTAGCTCTCAAGTTTTTAGATATATCCTTTTATTTTTAGAATTATATGCACCAACCCAGAAGTTTATGAAGAAAGATTACTTGGCAACAATCTTGTAGGAGGGCTAAGATAGTTTAAGTGTGTGAAGGGGTGTGTCGTGGGAAATATGGCAAGGGCTGTCAGAAAGTGACTTTCATTTGAACGTTGTACTGTACTTGCAGTTGTACTCTGACAATGACTTTTGCAGACAAGAGGGTGTTACCAAAATCAAGGTACTGTGACGAGAATGGATAAATTGCTTTTCTTCTTCCAAGTAATTGTAGTCACCTTTTGTGGAAGGAAAGAGGTCAAGTAAAATATCACCTCTGTGTGCCTTTTGTCAGCTTGTAAATTTGGACATACACTGTATTCAATGGCTATATTCTATTTTTGTCCTGACTGACCCAGCTGGATGAATAACTGCATGAGACAAGAGGACACTAAACATTCTTCCCTTTTATTAATTTCCATAATT